GTGCATTGGCGGATATTCAGGTTGGCTTATACTCGAGTATATGCGGTGTATATATACTGGTAAATTATATATATATATATTTTTTTTTCACATATGGCAACCCCATTGGACTGAGTAGAACTGCTCTCTAGCATTCCCAAGAGTGTAGATCTTCATGGAAACAGACAGCCGAGCTTTCTCCCATGGAGCAGCTGGTATACTTGAACTGCCAATCTTGCAGTTAATGCTCCACTAGGGCTTCTTACATATTGGCTGAGAATCTTTAATTCTTCAGATCCACATCTCTGGAATAAAGAAAGTGGTCAGAGATGTGCTTGAATCCTTGTGTGTTGTGGTGAGGCAGAAAACTGGGACCTTCTGTGCGGATGAGCAGCCCTGGTGGTGTAGTGATTTAAGTGCCCAGCTGCTGACAGGAAAGTTGGTGGACCACCAGGTGCGCTGTAGAAGAAATAAGTGGCAGTGAATTTACACAAAGATTTGCAGCCCTGGAAACTCTCTGGGTCAATTCTAGTCTGTATTATGGGGTCACTGTGAATTGGAATCTACTCTTCTTTCCCCCCAAGTTTTATTGGCACAAAGTTGACATATCATAAAATTGAAGAGTTCAATCGTTCAATCATACCAAGGGGAATTGTATAGTCAGCACCACACCGATCTTAGAACCTCCCCCTTCCCCACCCCATGGTTCAATTGCCTTCAGTATGAGTTGTGCATCCTGATCAGTTCTAGTGCTCCTTCTCCCCTCCTGCCTTCATGATTTACTCCCAAAATCCCCTTTCCCTCCCTGTCTCCCACCCCCACCCCTGCATTCCTATAATACCTTATATCTGTTTGTATCATTATACATCCATTCTTCTTGTGCTTCACAGCTGCGAAACCCCAAAGAAAACAACAAAAACAAATCGCACTGAGGTAGTAAGAATAGGAGCATATTAGTATAAAGACAAAAATGCAAATAATGGAATCATTTGCTTATGAAGTCTCTACTCACTATTGCTCCTGTGTAGATAGAATGAGCCTTCGCTCACAATGCTCATGTAAATATCCCTATTGTAACAGTCATCACATTTTATCCTTCTTCTCACTGCCGGCAAATCTATTCGGACTCATAGCGACCCTCTAGCACAGAATAGAATTGCCTCTGGGGATTTCTAAGACTATCACTTTTTACAGGAGTAGAAAGCCTCATCCTTTCCTGAGGAGCAGCTGGTAGTTTCAAACTGCTGACCTTGTGGTTAGCAGCCCAACTCATAATTCACTATGCCACCATGTGCCTGTCTTTTTATTTTGCTGGACTTTGAGCTGGTGAGGACTAGGATACAACATTTAATTCATATAGATGATCTACACAGGTTCTGGTACATAAAAGATACTAAAATTAAAAAAATATTATTTGAATTGTTGTTGTTGTTGTTACATGCCATGGGGTCAGCTTCAACTCCTCAGCGACCAAGCATACTGCAAAACGAGCCACTTCCTGGTCCTCAGAACCATCGCTACGGCTGAGCCCATTGTTTCCATGGCTGTTTTCATCCCTCTTGTAGAGGGTCTCCTTCCAGAGTAACATTGAAACAAGGAGCCCCGGAAGCACAGCGGGTTGCATGTTGGGTAGCTGACTGCAAGGTCGGCTGTTGGGTTCATGAAAGAAACGGGAGCCTTGCCATTCCCGGGAACCACTCGGTGCCGTCCCACAGGCCCTCTGAGTTGGATTCGACCCAATGGCAGTGAGTTTGGGGTTAATATTACTTCATTTTTAAGGTAATAACTGAAACATAAGAAATCAGCAGACAACGCTTCATAGCCATAATTAGGAAGGAGAATGGGCGAGCTGAGTAAGTGTTTCCTCGATCATGAAGAGTGCCATATGGCGACACCAGTTCAATGTTGGCCTGCCCGGTTCTGTTTCTCTCCGGTCTTCTTTCTTCACGGCTCTGGCTGTTAGGGCTCCGGTGAACGCACGCAGAAGCAAATTCATCTCCAGTGAATGGTTTAGTTCTTTTCAGAACTCAGTGTCTTCACAGGAATTAGAACATAAGTCCAGATACAGAAGTTTTGCAGATGATTTCTCATCAGACAGGTGTGTGCCTTACAGTTTTGAATTCTGTAGAAATGGAAAAAAGTTAAGCTATGTGCTTTCCACCATGTCAAGCCCCATAAAACGATCTTAGCAGATTGTCATAGGAACACATCTTACAAGTGATCTAAAAGAGACTTTGTTACCTTCAACAAGTGATGGTGTTGACATTTCCTGCTTAATTCTTGATCATAGGAAGCACCTTTTCTTGCCTGCGACACACCAACTAGATCACTGAAGAGAGTGAAATTAGGAGTTTCAGGCTGAGGGGTGACTTCAGCACCAGTCAGCAGTCAGAACCTTTACTCCTTGATAAGTGTTAGATAAAATCCACTAACTGACAGTTTATGTCCCACATTCTGCAAGGCAAGAAACCAAGGTACATGGCCAGCACAGGTATGGCCACAGGTAGGGAAAGAGCTCAACTGCTCAAGAGGGGTTTCAGTTGTGTCTTATGGATTTAGCGGGGCCCTTCTTCCGAAGATACATTTCTAAGCATGACTTAAGTTGACTTAAAGTGGGAAATAAATAATCATATTTTCTGTGATCACCGAAGAAAAGTGCATCCATGTGTTTGAGCCATCGTGCCATGAGATAGTGCCTTGTCCACTTTCTGCATGTAGGACTGCGAACCATCTCAAAGGCGGCTTCATCGGTAGACAGTATTTGCAACAAGCCAGTGCCCCTAGACTAGGAGAGAGCGTTTGATGAGGCAGCCCAGGATGGAGGGAAGCAATAGAAAAGAAAGCCCAGCCTGAGATGCAGTGTGACTAGTGACTTCCACCTCCCTTTTGAAGGCAGCAGGCTTGCCGTTTCGGAACTGCTAATCTGTTCTACTGTTTTTTAATCAGATGTTGGCATTATCTGCCACTAATTGCTTTTTCATTTCCACTTGTAATTATTCCATTGCATGTTTGTAGTGAGAAGCTGAAAATGAGGCAGATCACTGAGAAAGAATTAATTGTTAATGAATAATCATCAGTAGGAAGCCAATTTCATTATCTTCAAAGAGGTAGCCAGAGATTAACCACTCGCTGTGGTTCTTTTACTTTCTGTGCATGACTGTAAAGTAATCACAAATAATCACGCCCTCCAACTTCATCAATTATTTTTCTATTATGTGGATTGATACCCATTTTTGTCTTTGTTGTTTAATGATAATGGCCGTATTCATGCTGGCGAGTGCTAATTGGAAGGTGTTACATTCCATGGGCTCTAGGCCTAATTATTAGAGCATCTTCTTCATTAACACATGATCCTACAAGGGTTGCATGGTGGGAGTTACTAATTTTTTTTCAGGCAACAAGAATATCATGTTAGGAAAATTTTCCATGTCTTTATGTCAGGTAACACAGAAAACCTTATATCTGATCAAGGTTGTGTAGCCACCAACAAGGATTTTTTGATTGTTGTTTAACTTAGAAAAAAAAAAGGTTTTAATCTGAATTTCTGTCAGATAGCACACTTTCCCCCTAAAATATGGATCTATCCAGAACTGTGGATGAGCTTTCGCTTCTGCTTTGTTTCTGCCATTTACCAACATTCGTTCTTCAAAATGGCTCACACAGCCCCCTGGGTTTGTTACAGTTCTCAGTGGGGCTCGGCCAGCTATTAATGGAAACATGATGCGATAAGTTTGAAACTCAGGATGGAAGGGTCCTAATGTCTGTTGCTTTAGTGGTCAAATGATGTCACACCACACAAACTTAGAGAGAAAATGAATACACATCCCTACTTCACGTTTGCATCAATTTCTTAAGGGACCTTCCTTGGTATGGGCTCACCATGCATGGCCTTTCATAGAGGGAATCAGTCAGGGTGTTGGCAGAGAAACAGCCATGAGAGAAGGGAGCAAGGAGGTGGGGAAAAGAGGAAGAGGAAGATATTAAGGTTATTTTTAAAAGAAAGAATTGGCTCATGAAAGTGTGGGGTCTTTCAAATCCAAAATTCATAGGCATGTTAGAAAGTTGCAAGGATTGATGCTTTCATCTTGAGTGGGAATCTGTAGGGCAGGTTGGCAAGCATAAAATTCAAGCAGGATTTCTTTTCTGAAAACCTGGGTTTGCCCTCAAGGTCTAAGGCCCACTGACATTACTAAGGGCAATCTCCTCTACTTAAAGTCAGTGGTAGCTTATAACTACATCTTGGGGAAAACACACACACACACACACACACACACACACACACACACCAAAAAAACCCATCTCAGCAACAACTAGATTAGTGTTTGATGAACTAACTGGGTACTATCATCTTACTGAAAAAGAGCCCCAGTTAATCCATGGACTGCTAACCACAAGTCCATCAGTTCCACCTGTCCAGCCACTCCATGGGAAAGAAACGAAACTCTTTAGGTCTGTGAAGGTTTACAGCCTCAGAGGTCTCATGACACGCCTCAACTCTGCTCTATAGGGTTCCTGTGAACGCAATGGTAATGGGTTATAGGATTGCTGAGTTGGAATCCATTTGATGGTAGTGGGCTTGCTTTTGGTTTGATAGCCTGGCCGTGGTTACTCCAAAGACCAACCATCCTAAAGAGAGATTTGTTGTTGATAGACGTGGTGTGCCAGCAGAAACTACTATGGCAGAAACCCCCATTCAGCTGCCTTCTCTTTGCAAGGTGTTCTTCAATGAGTCTAATCATTCAGCTTCCCTTCTAATCTGACGAAGAACCCTGGTGGCATAGTGGTTATGCGTGGGGCTGCCATCTGAATGATCAGCAGTTTGAAACTCCCAGTGCCTCAGAGAGAGAGAGAGAGAGAGAGCGCTTTCTACTCCTGTAAATGGTTACAGTCTCAGAAACTCACAGGACCAGTTTGCTCCTACTCCAAAGGGTCACTGTGAGTTGGCATCTACTCGATGGCAGTGAGTTTGGTTTGGTTTTGTGGTCTAATCTGAAAGCGCTTCTTCTGTAACCATTCTGCAGGCACCCAAGGACCTATTGCTGACCAAACCTTCGGCGAAAGAAAGGAAAAGCACCAAGTATTCTCTAAATTATTGGACGACACGACATACTTTCGGAAGCATTTCCAAGAAGAATAACTTGCAGATGAGGTAACAAAATCACGTGCAGGTGACAGAACCTAGGTTGTGCATTAATCCCAGTTATGTAAACCAGCCCGCTGCTGTGGAGGCAAAGCGACCCTGGGTGGGGTCTCCAATGCTGTAGATCTCTACAGCAGCACACAGCCTCATCTTTCTCCCGAGAACACAGATGCTGGGTTTGAACCCCTACCTTCTGGTTAGCAGTCACCAGGATTCATCGTTGGCTGTGTTAGCAGTTATAAGTTATTTAACATCAGGGAAGAGGAGGCTCTGTTTTTTGAGCTGTAAAATGGATTCAATCAAAGTTACTCATTAAGTTATAAAAATCAAGAGCATCTTATATGGAAAATGCTATAGGGTCTGAACTATAGTTAGAGATTAGGAACACACCATGAAGAACATTATTTGTTTGAGTGACAGATGGTTTTATGGGAATGAATGAAATATTTCTGAGACTACTGGGTGATTGACAAGTGCAACAGTCAAATCCTAAAAGGTGAGTGATGTCATAGAAGCCCAATATTGGGTGGTGGTCTTTCTTCTATCCAGACCCCGGCCATCTAGAAATGTCACCATCTCAACATAAGTCTTCCAACGGTATTGGACCAGGGGAAAGAGAGATGGCAGGGACACACAGCTCTGTGCATCTCAGACTAGGAGACATAAATCATGTAACTCATATTCCTATAGGTCAAAATGCTGGCACATGACTCTAATGCAGTCAGAGAGTGAATGTGAAACATGGTCTGCCAATGTGCTTGAAAGGGGGTGTGATATGTCTGTCTTGTGTCTGCTACCTGTACAAAGAATAAAATATTTAAGAGCTTCATTTTACAAAGAGTATATTGAGGGTGTGTAGAGATGGTTGGAAGCAGGAAAAAGACTAGAATCTAGGGTGTTTTAGAGCAGTGTTGTGATCATAAAAGAGCCCAGGTGCCACATTGGTAGAGTGCTCCCCAGCCACCCCGAAGGGGACAGATGTAGCGGTCTTCTTTGGTAAAGAGAATCCCTTTGGAAACCCCGTGGAGCAGTTCTGCTCTACCCGTTAAAGTGGCTACAAGTTGAAATCTACTAGATAGGTTTGATGTGGTTTATTATGATCGCAGAAGGAAAAAACAACGGAACTCTGAGATCAGTTTGGACATCGTGATCAGAAATGTCAGGCAAGAGAAAGCAAGGGTTAAAAAAGAAGCCTTGGATTTAAAGGGAAAGCTTATCAAGCACTATTTTTAAAAGACTAGGTTAAAACTGATACTCATTTTTATGATCCAGAGAAGGACAAGCCTAGGAAGGTAACTATACTTATAAGAGACGTGGATCAGAAAATGCCCCAGAGCAACCCTCTCCGCTTGATTTTATTATCACCATGAAGACGTGCAATGTCTCCAAAGGTCGGTGGAAGAAGTTCTCTGAGTTGTTGCTTTGTGGAAATCTACTCAGCACGTTTCTGTTCTACAGTAAACAAAGAGCATCCTCTGACGTGATGGTTGTTACCTAGGCACAAACGACCTGTTACCTCAAAAGTGTTATCAAGAGTAAAAGTCGGCTCTTGAAGCTCCACTTGTTAAATGAGTGGTTGGGGGAGGAAGTGGTAAGAAATAATGTCAAGGGGCTACACACAGACACGTCTGGGTTTTCACAGTACTTACAAGTTTGCCTGTGAGAAAAAAATTATTTCTATGGGAAGGACCTGATCATTTCTCTGTGTTATTTTCAGGGAGCATTGTTTGAGCTTTGGGCAATGGATTTTCCTCCTCAGTAAACTCTAGATTGACACATGAGATGCAAGACTTTTTTTGTGGTTTTTTTTTTGCCGTTGTTGCCTTTCTTGTTTAAATGTCTGACTTGGCATTTGGACATTTCACTGGGCTCAGAGTGTGCGCTTCAAGATTCTCACCTTCTATGATCTTGGCTTTCAGGCATGTTTACTGACACTTTGTCTGCAGTTTTCAGAAGTTTGTTTCTACCTCTCACACCCTGTTCAACCACTTAGGCAATGCCTTTGCCAGCAGAAAACACCCGCCCCTCCCATTTCCAACTCTAACCCCGGGCCACACCCCTGCTACTTTCAGGCAAAGATCGCAAATTTAGAAACTGAAGATTTTGTTTTTATCAGTTTTGCACGAGGCAAATGAATTTGGGGGTTGGAAGTCGTAGCAGTCATGGTTACCAAGTCTGGTCAGCGCCTCCTCTGCGTCAAACTGGAGTCTGTACAGGGGAACAGGCTATCTGTGCAGGTACCTGGTGGCTCAGGGGAAAAGGCAACCTGGAAATAGGGCCCAGGGACTTTGCCCCTGACTTCCAGTCATAAAATAAGCATTCTCTTCCTGATCCAGCAGTAAATCAAACCTGACATTTTTTCTCATTAGCATTAAATACTTATGATTAATGAAAACATTTTTGTTCTTTGTAGCACTTACTCGTAAAAGCACATATTTAGTATGATGCTACGGAAAGTGAACAATATTCAGTGCTTGATTCCAAATATTATCTCCAAAGCTTATCTATATTATCCATACTGGGGGTTCAAAGGTTGTGGGCAGCATTTACTCAAGGACAAAGATCAGAGGGTGTAGAAAGAAGGAGGAATGGCAACATGAGAAATTAGAGGGGAAGTAGGGGAAGTGATGTTGCATGGTGGGGAATTGCAGTCAATTACGTGTAACAAGAAGTGCGCGGAGTTTTTAATGGAAAACGTATCTGCTCTGTAAAACTTCATCTGATTCACAGCAACCCCAACCAAACTCACTACCACAGATTCCATGCTGACTCATAGTGACCCCGTGGGTTTTGGAGACTAACTGTGTACCAGAGTAGAAAGCCCCTCTTTCTGCCTACTCGGAGTTGGCTGGTGGTTTTGAACTGCAGACCATGCAATTTGCATCCCAATGCAAAACCACTACACCTCCAGGGTACCTTCCAAGTCAAAAGAAAAAAATTATTTTAAAGCTCAAGAACAAATGGAATTAAAGTTAATGAAATTCTCCATGACTTTTTTTTGAATTTTCAGAGCGATTCATAGCTAAGCAAGAAAAATCCAAATAGAGGTTTTAAAGGTCTTTGTGTATTTTCAGGGATAAAGACAATTTTTAAATGAAATGGCATGGTCTTACATAATGTGAACATTTCTGAAGTAATAGTTCTGGAATGAAGGGGGTAGATCACTCATATTGCTCTTTCAAACATTGTTGATAGGGGTTGATAAGAGCATGAAAATAAAACTTGATACAATTACAAGAAACTCTAAATTGTTTGTGGGAGCATTCATTCTGTCAGTCAGCTTAGCTTTCATGCTTCCTTTCAAATGAGATCTTTCCAGCACTTAATATATTTTCAGTATTATGTGCAAGAGATAAGAGCTAATTATATAATAACAAGCTCATATCCTGAACATTTATAGGCAAGAACTAGGGTCTGAATCCTACATAAAGTTTTGCAGAGTCTCAGGAATTAAGCCATAACAGACTATCTGCAACAGTGGGAGATAATACCCTTACAGCGTGCTTCTCCCACTTTGTCATCACATATCAAGTTTAATGTCTTATGTCTCATCGGAGAGCGGTTATACCCAGACATGTTCCCCCATGGTGCAAGATGGCAGCTACTGAAATATAAATCACTGCAGAGAACGGCTGGGTTTAGAGCCAATTCTCCTAATCGAAAACAGCAGCAATGTTAATTTCAGCTTGAGAATGATGGCATTTGTATGGCGATATAATGGTACAGACTATAATGGTGTCAACTAGTGCAATAAAATATGCTTCAAATGGGTTCCCATTTTTATGTTGAGGCTAGGATGACTTCTGTCACATTTCTCTCTTTTTTTGGCATGGAAATCGACAATCTATTAAATAAATATTAATCCCTAGCAGGCTTCAAAGCAGGCTCAACCATATCAGGATTTTAAATAACTTCATTAATGGCTTAACTACCTTTTCCCCTAACTTCCCATGGGATCCTTTGATGCTAGTCACTCTAATGAGTTACCAAGTGATTCATGGCTTCAACCTGTTATCGTGCAAAATACATTTCCAGTTGGAAATCCTTGCAGATGTTTTAGCCAGAAAATAAGTAACCTTTCTAAACTTTTCAGAGGGCAAATTCCATTTCTGCAGTGTAAGAGGAAATATCATTTGGCTGCTTTTATTCCCCCTTAGATTTGTACTCTGAAATTGTAAAATGTGTTCAAAAACTTAATTTAGGAAATGTGGGGTCAAATGAAATATTCTCTCTGAATAGTAAAAGAAGACAATGCTAGGTGATCTCTGGGTGAATTAGCCACCACGAATGTTTTATCACACACTGGCTAGTCCTTACTTTCCTGCAAACCTTCGTAACACCTTTCTTCTCTAAATTGAAATATTCGTAAAACAACCCAGACTAGTTTTAATATAAATCTAGTCTAGGCAGTATTGAAAGTCAAAATATTTTTGATAGGGCATGAAGAATTTTTTTAAAGAAATATACCATTTTTCAAAAACCCTGCTTCTGTTTCTTGCCATTTGAATGATTATCGAGCATTGATCACTCATTATTTTTGGTGAATATTATTTTGATCATGCTAACATATGTACTAAAGTTTTAAAGGAATGTAAAGCGACCAAGAAGTAGCATTTCAGGAGAAGCCCCTCAGGAACACCTCATTCTTGGGTAGTCAGGTCCGAGGACTCTCTAGGAGGGCTACAGAGCCACCATTTCAGCATTACCTTTCATCTCTGCCCTTTGTTGAGCTACTTAGAGCGTTATGGAAGCTAAATAAAGGTAATGACAAGAACGTGTGTATACCTTCTTTCAATATTCTTTTTTAGGAAGATGATTTTGAGTTGAGAGGTCTCCTGAACTTAAGCCATCTATCTCCTGATGAAGATCAAGGATTCCAGCCTTCAATATGGATTGCAACACAATGTGAAGAAAACAAAAATCTTCACAACTGGACCAATAGGTAACATCATAATCAACGGATAAAAGATTGAAGTTGGCAAGGATTTCATCTGGCTTTGATCCAGAAT